TCCAAGGCGCAACGAAGCCTATGCACTTGTTGAAGCTTATCTGAGCACCACTTCATCGAAGAGCGCCGACAGATTACGAGCGGACATGGAAAATGATGGCGGGAATTTGGTGTTGAGTATGGATGATTATCAGCAAGTGACAGATGAATCTGAAGGTGTAAAAGTTTGGTGGGATTTGAGAAGAGTTATGACACCAAGTACAAAGTCTATTGTATGCCAAGCAGGGAAAGAGGACTTACAAGCTCAAATTTCCAAATGAGTATAGAGAGATAGTGACGAAGTCTTATTTGGAGCATGTCATGAAGAAAGGAAAGGAAATTAGAATGACTAACAGGCCAAGGAAGCTTTATACCAATATTGGTGATTCTAGAAAGTCATCAAGTGGTACAATGTGGAACCACATTGTGTTTGAGCACCCTGCGAGTTTCGAAAAATGGCGTTGGATCCCGAGAAGAAAGAGGAGATTGTTGAGCATTTGTTGGTCTTTAGCAGGAACAAAGAATTCTATGAGAGAGCTGGGAAGGCATGGAAAAGAGGCTATTTTCTTTATGGCCCGCCGGGGACCGGGAAGTCCACCATGATTGCTGCCATGGCCAATTTGCTTAGCTATGATGTGTATGATCTTGAGTTGACGGCTGTGGAGGACAACACCGAGTTAAGGAAGTTGTTGATTGAGACCACAAGTAAGTCTATTATTGTCATTGAGGATATTGATTGTTCTCTTGATCTCACTGGCCAGAGGAAGAAAAAGGGTGAGAAATTTTCTAAGGAGGATAAGAATAATGATAATGATGAGTTTAGTAATAAGGAAATGGAAGAAGCAAAAGAAGAGGGAAATAATGGGAATAATAGTAGTAATAAAGTTACTCTTTCTGGGATTTTGAATTTCATAGATGGGCTTTGGTCAGCTTGTGGGGGTGAGAGGTTGATTGTGTTTACAACAAATTATGTGGAGAAGTTGGACCCTGCTTTGATTGCCAAGAACTACTTGGGAATTGAGTCTCATCAAATGTTTGATAAAATTAAAAATTTGATTGGGGAGGTCAAGATTACTCCCGCGGATGTCGCGGAGAATCTCATGCCGAAATCTCCCATGGATGATCCGGAGAGGTGTCTTTCAAACTTGATTCGAGCTCTCGAGGAGGCCAAGGAAGAAACCGCGGCGGTTGAGGGAGCAGCGGAGGAGGCTAAGAGGAGTGCTGAAGACGAAAATGAGATTGAAAAACCAGAGGGATCAAACTAGGAGATTTAATGTTGTTGTATGTAGTATAGTATAGAAAATCAGTAGTTTTCCTCGACCATTTTATTTAGAGCTACTATTTTCATAATGAATGTCCGTCTTAGAAAAAGCTTTGACCGAATTTGAGCAAAATTATTTCTATGCGCTCTTCTAATACTTATACCAAAGTATTTAAGTTGGGAGCTTCTAGCATGGTATTCTCTTAATTTCAAAGCTTATTGGTGTATAATTTATCAAGTATGTTTTGGGTGCAGGACAAAAATTATACATGGAAAACTAATTGGTTTTTCTTATTAGATTCACAAGTTTCCAACTCTTTTATCCTCTTGAGATTTTTTTTTTTTTTTAAAACATAAATCTTGGTCCAAGACACTTGGCTGGCATTTTTACATTTAAGACTCTCAAATAAGACCATCCAATACCCAAACCTTTAACCACAGACTTAGCCACAAAATTCTTTATCTAACCCACCACAATCTACTGTTTTTTTTTTTTTTTTATAAGGTTATGTGTTAATTTTGATTAATATGATTATTTTTCTAGAAGGTGTATTACCATTCCCTAGAAGTCTCCCCTCACTTATATTCAATTTGGAATTTAAAAAAAAAAAAAAAAATTGAACTTGATTAGTAGAGATGACAAGGATAATTTAATTAGTTACACCATTAAGACAATAACACAAGCGAAATCACTAAACTAGAAAAATAATTATTTTGGAGAGTTTTTCGTGCAAGATAAATCAAATTCGTTTTTCTTAACGAAACTTTTTCATCAAGTGTCATTAGCAAACGTCGTTGAGAAAACTTTGCTCGGCGAAACACTAGTTTCCTTCTAAAAAATCATGATTTTTTTTTTCTAAAGAAAATATTGTCTAGAAAGGCCAACCATTGTTGGAAAAAGTAGACCAAGTTAATAGATGGTCAACTTTTTTCTCTATATATATTTTGAAATTTTCACTAGAAAAGATTTTCAAAATATTGTTATCAATGAATTGATTTCGTGATAGTAGAAGCGACCGCAGAAGTTAACACTTCAGTTTGACATTGCATTGGCTCTATATATAGCGACGAGTGATTTATTGTAACAAAAGTGTCACTTTTAACAACGATAATCGCGTCGTTGCTAAAGACTTTGTATAATAGTGTCACTTTTAACAACTTTGTGGTGCTTTATTGAAGAATGGTAACCAGTATGCCAAAACACCAATTATATATAATAGGGTGAAATCATAACTCGTGTCATTTTTACCGGACGGCAGTTTTTCGCATCATATATTGTTATATTGTTATGCTATAAACCTCACATGAGTTCTACACGACTATATATATGGAATTGTGTAGTCATTTTAATGAGTTCTACACGACTAAGGAGTTAGACCGTTTAAAAAAATTTACTGGTGGAACATCCTATTTTAATCGTTGGATTAAGTTATCAACGATTAAATTTGTTCAAGTCTGTATTAAAAATTTATAGCGCGCCGCACAGAACTTTTTAATCTGTAGATCTGACCGTTGAAAAATAGTCCAACAATAAAAAAAAAATGTTCCACCAGTGAATTTTTTTTTTTCAGAAAGTCTCACCATATAAGAAGCCTACTAGTAATATTGAGCGCACTGATAATGAACTAGGCCCCATTCACTTCACCGATTCAAGTTTAAAATTCAAGTTTTGCTACAGTAAAAAGCTCTTAAAAATAGTCACATTTAACTTTTTTACTACAGTAAAAAGCTCTCACATAAAGTCACATCTCAATTCGAATTAAAAATTTATAGCGTGCCGCACAGAACTTTTCAATCTATAGATCTGACCGTTGAAAAAATAGTCCAACAATAAAAAAAAATGTTCCACTAGTGAGTTTTTTTTCAGAAAGTCTCGCCATATAAGAAGCCTACTAGTAATATTGAGCACACAGATAATGAACTAGGCCCCGCTCACTTCACCGATTCGAGTTTAAAATTCAAGTTTTGCTACAGTAAAAAGCTCTCAGCAATAGTCACATTTAACTTTTTTGCTACAGTAGAAAGCTCTCACATAAAGCCACATCTCAATTCGAATTAAAAATTTGTAGCGCGCCGCACAGAACTTTTCAATCTATAGATCTGGCCGTTGAAAAAATAGTCCAACAATAAAAAAAAATGTTCCACCAGTGAGTTTTTTTTCAGAAAGTCTCACCATATAAGAAGCCTACTAGTAATATTGAGCACACAGATAATGAACTAGGCCCCATTCACTTTACCGATTCGAGTTTAAAATTTGAGTTTTGCTATAGTAAAAAGCTCTAAAAAACAGTCACATTTAACTTTTTTATTACAGTAAAAGGCTCTCATATAAAGTCACATATCAATTTGAATTAAAAACTCGAATCAGCGAACTAAACGGAACCCTAGTAAATTGATGGTGGTCGGTTTGTACAAATTGCTTTTTAGCTAAGGATGAGATGCTCACTTTCTCCCTATCTAATCAAACAAGATAGACAAATAATCACCCACCACTAAATCAAAGTCTCTCACGTGAGGCTATGTCCTAGCCACCCATTTGTTTCTTTTGTTGCAAAGTACATTCAGAGGACAAAAACAACTAATTTTCTATTGGAAACTTTGGATTGATTTTTCTTTTTGATTCCATCGATTTTGACCACTTTTGTATCATAGTGGATTAACAGGTGTTTTATTATGTGAAATGTCTCCCCAACCATGTTATAAGATGTATAAAACTATATTGAATATTCACCATTGACTAGGATCATTCTTATCCATTCACACCATATTGTCTTCTTATGTCATGAAAGGGTAATCTCATTGTATTTTCAAAAAAATAAAAATAATAAATAATAAATAGTAATCTCATTGATTTTAATTGAGAAGCCTTTTGATCACGTTAGTGGTAATTGTCGGGCTCAAATATAACTATAAGTTTAGTTTTGTATTATGAAAAGCTTTCTTTTTCCCCTAAAAGAAGACGAATAGCAAGATTTATTTTATTTCTAAGAAGGAATTAACAACATTAATTAATTCTTTTGAATCATAATGGATTTTGCATTTTATTCTTTGAATTAAAAAGTTATACAATTTGGTCACTCTCTCCATGAATTTTATAATAAAAGAACTATTATCTACCCTAAAAAAGGATTATTGGATTCCTAAAACGGGACTAAAAAAGTTTAGGAGAATTATACAGCAAGTAATAAAAATATACGTTACTGGTATGACTCTGTTTTGACCCGTCAATTAAGTTGTATCAATTTTATATGTTTTTACATTTTAATGTGATTTTAAGTTGATTTAACATTATGGGGATACATACTGTAAAGACCTCCAAAGTTTAAACAAATTAATGAGATTATATGCAAAATTGAAGAAAGTTGAGATCATTGATGCTAGTGATCATCATGATCATCATCATTATTATTATTCATCATCATAATTATTATTATTATTATTTTTACGCGCTTGAGGATAACCACATTTAATGCTCACATGGTATTGCGGTCCTACTCACAAAAGTACAATCAATTAGGGATTAACATGAGGAGAGACCGCTACTCCACAACAATCAACTTTCTATGAAAAGAATCATATTGAGCAAGTACTACATAAGCTTTTCCTTATTAATAAATAAATAAATAAATAAAGTCTCGCATGAGCTTATGAAGAAGAGAATATTTAAACTTCCAAAATTTTATTCTGAAATTTTCTCACTAAAAGATATTGGAATAGTAGTAAAAGAGAATGACAATGATATGATCCAATTAATTTGTTGCTCAATGATTTTACTAATACGGACATTCAAGATAAAAATAGACCCGTTACATATACTTTAACCGCAGCAACTGAAACATAGCTCTAAATAAAATGGTTGAGAAAAAACTATTAATTTTCTTTACTATAGAAAGTATAACAAAATTCTTAAATCTCCTAGTTTGATCAGCTGGTTTTTCAAGTACCTTTTTATCACCCTGCGCCTAAAGTGATACTGCCTCTTCCTTTGTTGGTTCAATCTCATTTTCTTCTTCAGCGCTCCTCTTAGCCTCCTCCGCCGCTCCCTCAACCGCCGCGGTTTCTTCCTTGGCCTCCTCGAGAGCTCGAATCAAGTTTGAAAGACACCTCTCCGGATCATCCATGGGAGATTTCGGCATGAGATTCTCCGCGACATCCGCGGGAGTAATCTTGACCTCCCCCATCAAATTTTCAATTTTATCAAACATTTGATGAGACTCAATTCCCAAGTAGTTCTTGCCAAGCACTTTGAACCCTTCAAAGGTGCAATAAGAGAGCTCAATGTGCTTGTCCATTCTACCCCTCCTTATCAAAGCAGGGTCCAACTTCTCCACATAATTTGTTGTAAACACAATCAACCTCTCACCCCCACAAGCTGACCAAAGCCCATCTATGAAATTCAAAAGCCCAGAAAGAGTAACTTTACTACTACCATGATTCCCATTACTTCCCTCTTCTTTTGCTTCTTTCCTTTCCTTATTACTAAACTCATCATCATTCATTTTCTTATCCTCCTTAGAAAATTTCTCACCCTTTTTCTTCCTCTGGCCAGTGAGATCAAGAGAACAATCAATATCCTCAATGACAATCATAGACTTACTTGTGGTCTCAATCAACAACTTCCTCAACTCGGTGTTGTCCTTCACGGCCGTCAACTCAAGATCATACACATCATAGCTCAGCAAATTGGCCATGGCAGCAATCATGGTGGATTTTCCGGTCCCCGGCGGGCCGTAAAGCAAGTACCCTCTTTTCCATGCCTTCCCAATCCTCTCATAGAACTCTTTGCTCTTACTAAACGTCATCAAATCTTCTATTATCTCCCTTTTCTTTTTTCCCTCCAATGCCATGGTCTCAAAAGTGGCTGGATGCTCAAACACAATGTGGCTCCACATGGTTTGCTTATAGCTTGGCCATTTATAGCCAGGAGAGTTTGTGTACAATTTTCTCTGTCTATTCTTAACCCTAATTTCTTTCCCTTCCTTCATAACATGCCCTAGATATGACTCGGTTACTGTTTCTCTGTACCTCTTGTGGAAACTCAGCTTGTAGAACCGCCGCTCTTGCTCGGGGTAATACGACATTGACAAAGGCCTCGGTGGCGCCGCCGTCTTCGTTAGGACCCACCACACCTTCGCGCCGCGGTACTCGTCGGTGACTCGCTCGAACTCGTCCATGCTGAGGACTATATTGGAGCAGTCTTTTCCCACCTCCGCCTTGAGCCGCTTCGCGGACTTGGCGGTGTTGGAGCTCAGGTAGGCCTCGACGTTCGCGTAGAAGTCGCTGCGCTTCAGCCGGTCGCCGGAGAACTCGTGGATGGAGATTCCGATGTAGGGGTAGAAGAAGGAGGTGATCTGGTGGGTGAGCTTCTCGAGGAGCCTCTGGATTTCGTAAGGACAGTACTGCCGGATGATCGCCATGATGAACATGAAGCTCGCGACGGTGGAGCCCACCGTCGTCCATAGCTCCGCCATTGTCGCCGGAAGTACCATTGTTCCTGCTAGGGTTAGGGGTTTTGTTAGAGGAATTGTGTGGAATGAAGACCCAAAAAAAAAAAAAAAAAAGTTTTTTCTTTTCTGTAAATTTTACTAGTAGAAGGGTTGAGATTTGAGAAGAATGACGAAGAAGAAGAAGATATATAAAGTACGTACGAGTTAATGCTTTGTACAAAAATATACATATTGTTGGATGACTTTTGTTTTTGTTTGTTTAAAGGTTTTTAAGTAAAGCTAAATTAGCTAATTGTTGGTTGACACCTATGATTCATAGTTACGTTTTTGAAAAATGTAGATCAAATCCAGATCCAGACATACATATACATATATCCAGTTATGTTATATTAGAGTCTAAAACAACCACAAGTTTCGTTACAATTTTCTTACCAGACTTTAACATTAGTACTCACGATAAAATTACTGTTCCTAACCATGATTAACTTTTTGTTGTTTTTATTAAATTATAATCTAACTTTGAAACTTTTTATTGACGTAAACAATATTCACCAAATCCGAAATGCGTATCTCAAAACTTTTTGTATATGCCTTTCTATACATACCAAAAATAAAACAAAAAAAAAAAAAAAAAAAAAAAAAAAAAAAAAAAAAAAAAAAACTTAGGTAATTCTGTTCCTACTCAAAACTTACTTTTCTTAAACTGACATGAGAGAACTTCTCAGTTTTTTTTTTTTTTTTGTTGTTTTAGAAAAAGAGTTAAAAAAAAGTGTTTTAGCGTATTAAAAACAGACACGTACCAATAGGATTAAAATCTCAAGAAAATAAATAGAAATATAGACTTTGACAAATCAAAAAAAATTGCATGGGTTAAAATTTCTTCTATTTACTCTTAAATAATTATACTAATTATATTAATAAAATAGTATTAATTAAGAATAAAATTTAAAAATTTAAATACATACGCTTTAAAAAGTAAAGTTTTTAATTCTCTCTCATAAAAATATATAAATTTAATACAAGTCACTGTTTTGCAGGATGAGTGTGATTGGTGGGCCGACGTGGAAGGGAAGTGGTGGTCCATGCACAAAAGAAGTGATCAGAAATTGCATGGATGAGTAATCAAAGCGCAAAAGTTGTCGATTATTGGACACGTGTGATTACGCGCGAACAAAAACTGAAGATAAAGTTAAATGAAGTGCAAACTAGGATTCTGCGCATGTGATTTTAGAAACTCAGAATCGTTCTTGCCAGGCAAAATGACAAAACTCTTCAGAAGCAACTATTAAGAAGTTGATTAGTTAGAAATTCGTACCCGATTTAAATTATAATTTATAATTTATAATAATATTTTTTTTATAAAAATTATACGTAAATTAAAAATAATTTTAATATTATGATTTTAATACACTAATTAAAACGTCTCCTAAATTTAACTTATTGTCTTTATTGGTTGTTTTCTTCGTTGGAAATCATTGCGTGTTTTTTTTTTCTCCTTTTCAGCGAAAAAATCATTGCATGTTTTTGCTTTCTTTCCAGCCAAGCAAGAGAAAATTGGATCAAGAATTGAATCGTTTACCATTCATGATTCATGACCTTTTTCTATGAATGTCTTGTACTATATATTTTCAAAGCTTTTTGATGCAAAAGTACTATTTTCAAAAGCTAGCTTTTTGTTTGTGAGCTGTTAATTTTTTGAATACATTGGAAGAAGAATAATTTGAAATGTTGTACTTTTCAGTGAAGTGCTCTATAATTGAAAGTCCAACACAGATGGGGCAAATAGGAGAAATTTGTGTTGCTTTCTTCCGGGATGACGGATAAATGATCTAGTCATCAGTCATGTCGTTTCCTTGCCTTTGTTTGCTTTCTCTTTCGGACGTTTTGTTATAGAAATTGACTCTTATCTCTCCTTATTTTTATCATTTTTCATGTCATTTTAATAATATTATGACACTCTTTTTTCATGTTATTTTAATAATATCATGACACGTTAATTAAAGTGTCAATTTAAAATTTTTTATCACATTAATTAAGAAGTTATTACTGTTAAAATAATTATAATTAATGTGGCATAATCTTATTTGGCAAACACAAAAAGAGACATGAAATTTGAACTCAATCCTTTGTTATAGTATGGTATAAAAAGATTTAAGAGAGAGTTTTACTGTTAGATAATATAACATTTGACGAAATTTGATAAAATAAAATAAAAAGTTTAATAGTACCGATAAAGTAGTTTTCTCACATTCATACCGCATAATTGGTTGAGATTTTTTTTTTTTTTGGTCTAAATTTAATTATGTTGGACAGTGCATGATACTTGAATAGTAAAGGACGATCATGTTGCTTTTGAATTTGAGTTTAGAAGAGACGATTCAGCTTTTGATGGCTTGGAATTAACCTTGATACGTTTTTTTGGGTTGGTCCACTTGCATTCGAGTTTTAGCTAAAAGGCTTTCTAACCTCTGTCCTTTCAACGTCAAGGTCCGACCGACGAAAGAAAGGGATGTTTACCAAGAAAAGAACAGGTAACACATTGCTCCTAATCTAAAAGGATTATCATTTTCTCCTCCTAGTACTTTTGTGCTTCTAATGAAAATTAGATTACTCTTTTGTGTGAAAAAAGAAAGAGCTTAAAACCCAAAAAAAAAAAAAAAGGGAGAGAGATAGGAAACAGCTAACAGTAAATAATGAATGAATTTCATTGAAAGGAAAATTTTTGTACAAGCCCAAAAGGCAGATATGATCGTTAAGCCTTTATAGAGAATATACAACATAAAATGCTATGACTGCAAAAATTGTTTCTCAAGATGGTCATTAATACCATTGTTATCATCTCATGTCGCAGCACTGAGGCCTTGCTTGTTGTTCCTGCAATTTGTCCCACATGCACATCATCTGCCTCGGGGACTGGTAATGTGCTGTATAATAATCTACTATACATCCAAATTGGCAGAACTTCACGTTGTGCACATACTCTACTGGTTTTGTACTGTTGAATTTCTCTACCCACATTCCCATGCTTACATCCTCCATCTTGAACAACTGCAAGAAGTTACGAGTTGTTTAGGCATTCGCCTATAAAGCACCTGATAAAGAATGAATGAAGATGACAATATTTACCCTTAATTTATGTCTTCTAAATTCAGACACAATGAAGTGTGCAATATCGGATGACATAATGTAGCCAGGTCCATTTGCATAAGGAGGATAAACTTCTTCTGGCCACTCCTGAAAAAACCGCCAATAGAAATATTAGCATGACTCGTATGCCAAAACAAGAGTAACAAAACTGAAATCAAATGCAAAGTTACAACCTCAAAATGATATAGTCAATCAATGTTCTTCTCTCTACATGCAAAAATCAATTGAGTCATTTCATTTTCCTCATCTATAATGTAATAATTTAAGACTAAACCCTCTCTCAAACTTTACTACGACATATTTCCTGAAATCCACCTATCAAACACTTTTTTGTAATGTTTTAATTTAATCAAACAAGCTTCCGGACCTTTACTAGATTTGAAAGGAAAGCAGTTGTCAGAGCCTGACATCATGTGTGCAAGTGTGTGAAGCAGAGAGAACTATCCAGTACTTCACTACTTTCTTACCATAAAGGCATTCCAAATTAACAGATAGTTAGAAAACACAGATCAAAATTTATAGATGAATGGATCACCACCATTAAGTTCTTCCATACCTCATGCGTCACAGCCCATTTACCCGCACGCAGGGGCGTATGATAGTAGTTAATGTTTCCAACATACAAACTCTTTCCCTGAGGTACTTCTTTTGCTTCGTTGAGAACGACATCCACTCTTACAAATGTATCATCATCACACTTCATAATGTACTTAGCAGACATGGATTGAACCTGGAATGGAAATAACATCACGATATATGATTAACCTCAAATATAACAAACAGCAGAACATTTTCAGTTGTTTGTGCACCAGAAATTACCCCATATTCACAAATCGCAACAGTTTTCAACACGACAAGGTCATAGTTATCCATGTAAGGCACTATAACAATATCACCAAAGAACTCCGCTTCTTTCTTTAACTCCGTGTTCACTTCCTTTCTGGCATGCTGTCAGAGTACATAAAATCGCTTAAGAAGATATTTATTCATCAATCATCAACCACAACTAAGGTGCCGTGACAATCACTTACCAGTGCTACAAAAAAACGAGCTACCACATTCGACGATTTGATAAGCTTGTGCTGCATCCAGGACTTTCTTACTGCCATGCGCTCAGCAAAATGGTTGCCTGCAGAAAGTATACCGATGAACATTTCAACCTCCCCCTCAGGAAGAGGTGGAGCACGCCATTTGCTTGACATCTCAAGGTGCCGCTGTGGGGCAAAACTAGGATGCGTCGAGGGCAGTGAAGCAGCAAATACAGAGTGGACATCAATGTCCCCACTCACGGACAGCCCGGTGGCATCCTCAAGAGTAAATCCCTGTTGAGATTATCAGGATCTTTAGAAAACATCTAAATTCATAACTAGATCAACAGGTTGTGGAGCATTACTCACTGTGCGGTAAGGAAAAGAGGTGACATGCCTCCCGTCAACGTTAATATGGTAACCCTCCAGGCCAGCGCTAAGAGTTAAAACAAAGAGCATCTCCTCTGCAAACGGGTACGGCCAGTCAACAGTCACCTTCTTCGTTCGGCCTATTAACCTGCTTAGCCACCATGTTGCCTTGGCCTGCTCCAAATGATTGTTATCATCACGGATCCACTTCTCACACTTCACCTGGCCATCAACTACAAACAGGCTAACGAATTACACAATGTGGGCACCACTAAAATAAAGAAGGCCAAACTCAGAGACTAACAAAGAAATCAAGTCCAAAAGACAACAAAAAAATTTTAAACCGAGCAGATAATACATTGTTAATATTCCATATACATTGTCGTTTCTTTCCTAAAGAAAAGAATCCACCCCAGAAATCGTAACATTAGGTTGACATCCTAAGTAGTCGCTATAACAAGATATTTAATGAACATCATTCTCTGCAAATACTGTCCCATCTCTCTTGCAGGAACTGATAGCCAATATTCTAATCCAAAGGTATGCTAGATCTTAGCTCATGTGATCACAGTGCAACCCTCACATCTCATAAAGCAAAAATAAAAAGAAAAGCACCAGAAAATATGGGTTTTCTTAACTAATTCAATCAACATAAAATTTAAATGTTTAATGTTAATAATCCCATGAAAATAATCTATTCAAACTTCTTTCTTTTTCCTACTTTTTTTCTCATTCTGGGCCAATACAAAGACACAGCAAAGAAAAAGCAATTCAATTTCCCCAACATCATACTGTTCCATAAATCGAAAATAAAAAGGAAAAGTACCAGAAAACTACTCAAAATTGAAACAGCACATCAGAAAAACAATTTACGCGTTTATGGGTCTCTCTCCAGTAAGTTAATCAACACAGATTAAACAAACAAGCAACAAAATCTTAGTTCTTTTTTTTTTCTTTTCTGAACTCCCAACAAACACCCTGCAAATAAAAAGCAATTCAATTTCCCCCAACAACCGCCCCACAAACAAAACACAAATCATTAAATTTTGCAAATTAAACAAACAAAACAAACAAACAAACAACAAAAAATATATATTTTTTTTTCGGTTTTTTTACCAGTTTCATCATCAGCCTTGGATTTCCATCCCTCACACCTGAGAGCAGAGCCCCACTGCATCCGGTAACAAGTGTTCTGCTCAATCACCGGCCTTCCACTCCAATCCCCTCTCAGCCTCGGATTGAAATGCAGAACCCGCGGCGGCTCCTCCCCATCCACCGTCTTCAGGCCCATCAACTCCACCTTAAACTGCGACACCATCGTCCCTTCCTCCTGCTGGGCCCCCCTCGGCTTCCCCACCAGAGTTATGTGGGACCCCAGCGTCAGCCCGCACGGGATCACCACCACTCCCCCCCGCGACTCGAGCTCCAACCCGCCCAGCACCACCGAGCGCGGGCACGACTCGGTCAGATTCTCCCGTCTCTCTTCCGAGTGGACTCGGAGCTGCTTCCCTGATTCCAGCTCCCGCCAGAACTTCCTCCCGACTTCCCACGCGACCTTCGCCGATTTGTAGAGCTCCGAACCGCTTCCCAAATCGAACGTCTTCCGATCAAACACCAGGTTTGATAGAATCGGGCCACGGCGGTGGCTCGGGACGGTTCGACTCGGAATCGGCTGGTGCGAGTTCTGAGTCACGCGTTCGAGAGGCCGAGTCGGGGATTCTCTCTCCTCCAACTCACTGTTGAGGTGTTCAGGGCGGTGCAGAGCGGTCTCCTGAGAGACGTCGGTGAAGCCGGTCTTGAAGACGAAGGGGATTTCCATGGTGACCACGACCAAATACAGAAGCCCCACGCCTATCAGCATCTGAACCGATCTCTGCCTCGTCAGAGACACGAACACGTTAAGTTTTTCCAATTTGGGTCTCTTCATCGCCGCCATTATTGGAAAACCCACGAGCTCTTCTGGGTTTTTTTTTCGTTTTTTTTTTTGGCGAATCCTCAAAGTCTCTCTCTCTCTCTCTCTTTTGATTCAATCAATATGTGACCACGAAGTTGCAGAGAGAGTTAGTCCAGCAACTTCGAAACACCGACGCGTAAATATATATTATATATTATAGAGAGAAGAATGGAGGAATTTTTCTGAGGGGCAGAAATTATGGTCGATGAAGGTTAGGATTTTCTTGGAAGATCACCGAAAATATTTTCACGATTGGGGATGATGACGAAATGTATGTCAATGTAATGTGGACCGTTAATATTTAAAAAAAAAAGAAAAAAAAAAGAGAAAAAAAAAGGTCATTGGTGTGGAATTTGATTTGAAACTTCGTTTTGTTTCTGGAAGTAATAGAAGAATTTTCTTTTCTTTTCTTTTTTTCTTTTTAACATTTGAATTACAATTTAAAAAGATTATTTATACTCGCTTAAGTAATTAGAGATTGCCACTCGCCAAACGCGGAGTTTTAAGACATAAATAAAAGAATATTTAAAATTGCTTTTGTTTGGTTAATGAAAGTCCAATTATCAAAAAAATATTTTTTTAAAAAAAATTATCTCACTGTTTTTAATTTTAATGTAATTATCAGAAATAGTCCGTGAACTCTCTATTAACTTACAACTTTGTCCTCAATCTAATTTGTACAATTAGATTCCCAAATCCTTAATTTAATGTTTTGTGAAATTTAATTTAAATATCAATTTATCGTTGTAGGAGTTATGATTAAAAAAAAAATTGTTTTTACTTTTTTTTAAATGGATTTTTACTTTTCACTTAGTAGGTCAACCATAAAGGAGCTGAAATCAATAAGATACATAGTAGGAGATTTCACAAATAGACGAACATTATCATAAGAACATTATGTACACAATAACTTAATTAAAGGACTCAAACGAAAAACTTAATTTATTTTCCGAAAAAAAAAAAAAATTAAGGCGTTATGCTAAATATTAACCCAACATACAAGAAAAGTGTATTGTTTTGTGAACTGCAAGTAGTTACAGAGGAATGTTTGGTGAACAAATTATCAACTTTTAATATTAATTCATACAAAAAGTCCGTCATTATTTTTTATGGATGTATATTGGAAATAAAGATTTTTTTTTAACACTTATCAATAAAAAGAATATCAACTTATTTACTCATAAACTCAAACTAAAAATTTGGTACGCCAAAAATCATTCGTATTATATTATAATATACTTAAAAAGTGCGCTAATTGACACCTTTTTTTTTTTTTTACTTCTCGTACACCCTTTTTAATGTTATTAAAATACACATTAATAAAATTACTTTTAAAAATAATAATATTTAAAAAAAATACTCATTACACACCCGTCATTAATAAAAAATATATATTATTACCTTCTAAAAAATACTCATTAATAAAATTAAAAATATATATTACCTTTTAAAATTTATTTTGTCCTACTTTTTTAGAAGAATAAGGATGAATTTCAACGTGAAAGAGTCTCCCCACAAAAAGGTACATGGTTAAATTTTTTCTTAAAAGTTCTTATTTTTTAATTCAATTTTTTTAGTTATATCATTAGTTCTAAAAAAATCATGGTTCGTGAAAAAAATAAAATAAAGAGAATTTTTTTTACTATGACTATATATTCTAGACGCCGCCGGTCGGCATGCAGACTTCACTGTGTGATTGAGTATGGAAATTGGACTTCACTATGACAAAATTGAAATATATAAGATCTCAAGAAAGAGAATTTACATATATATATATATATATATATAAAGGAGAATCGCGAGGGAGATAAAAATAGAAGGAGAAGAAAAACTCCAAAGGAGAAATTGGAACGCAACATTCATTAATCATCATCAAAAGACTTTAATCAAAATTACAACTGCTAATGTATTTACAGAGATCTAAAACTAATAAGATAAATATAAACTAAATTCAAAATAATCCTTCAAGATAACTATGATGCTAACTTACATTTAAATATTACAAATAATATATCATAAAAGATAATTGCATAAATTGAATTAAGAAATTTCAATCTAATTGGAATAATGGAAAAAAGGGCACTTTAAAGATAACATAAGTGACGCTTGTTTTAAGGGTTCTGTCTGGTTTAAGACTTATAGTGTTTTTCTCTCATAAAAAATTTAAATTTTAAAAATTAAAATTATGAACCATAATTTTAAACCCATAACGTCACTGTAGATTTGAAATTATTTTCTCTGTCACTATGAATATATCCGATTCTTTTAGTAATGTAATATTGTAAAATGTTTTGTTTTATTTGGTGTTATTAAAAATTGGCCCAAGTCTAAACGGTCATGAAACGCAACCAGATACATTTAAACGCGCTTTACCGCGAGTGGGCATTGCAAAAAAAAAAAAA